TATATATATATATATATATATATATATATATATATATATATATATATATATATATATATATATATATATATATTAATATATGTACATTATATATATGTATAAAATAATATGTATCAATTGCCAAGAGTGTAAATCAGAATCATTTTAAACTTTACCCTTAAAATGAAGTAAGCTTACTGTGAATATGTGCTTAGGACTACAAATATATCTTTGCTAAATCGTTCAGATAAGTGACCCTTAACCCAAAACATACAAAATATGATGCTTTTTTTGATAAACGATCACGACTAAGAATCTGTGGTACAAGCTCTGCTGGGGAGTGATGAGCAAATGAATTTGACAAAGATGTTTGTTGAACCGCTTCAGCATTATATTTAATTTTGTGACATTTAGGACCAAATTGAAACTATTAATAAAGAAGCGCCGCGCAGGCTTTTATAATCCTGAAATATGACAAATGCCACATCGCCAATTGAGTAGGCCTAGAAACTAATTTCCCGCGAAAGTGCAGCATTTATTGAGACGAGAGTACAATAATAATAAATCAACCCTCTTTACTTTAGTAAGTTCGATGTAATTTATGAAGAAGAAGCAAGAAATGAGCATTACGAACATTATGATTGGAACAATACTATAATTACAATATAAAGAGTTTGATTGTAGATAACCATTTATGTATGTACCTGGTATCGCTGCTAATCTCGTCATTGTGTATAAAGTTGAGCTAGAAAATTTGAACAATAGAATTAAATATTGAATTGAATAGATAAGTATTATTATTATTATTTTTATTATTATTATTGTTATTATTATTATAAAAAATCGAAGTAAATATATTTTTTCTGTCCAATTTAAAGCCATCTGCTCTTCCTAGTCATTATTTGACACTTAGTTTGTTGGTAATAAAAAGATGCATACAAGGAAGATAAAAATGTTTTGTTTAAAATAACTTACTTGACCATATTATATAAATAATAATAATAATAATAATAATAATAAATAATAATGTAGTTTTATATAGCGCACAAAGGCATCTAACGTAAGATGCTCAGGGCGCTTGAAATGTGGACTAGGAACTCGATCAATGACTTTCTTCGCCCCTAAGGGTCCCTTCGTGTTTGTGCTACCCCCGGGCAATTAAATAAAATCTTTTCTGTATATATTTTAAAAGATCCTTATATCTGGTAATCAATTTAAGGATTTTTGTAGTAAAATATCTGTAAATCAGCAAAAATATTCTTTTTTTTTTTTTCGATCTGTTTCTCGTTGGAAGCTAATAATGTATTAGATCCTTTTAAATGAGCTATTTAAAAACGCCATTTAAAATGTTGACGTATCCCTATCTTTTTGACGGGTAATACATTTTCAAACATCTCAGCACTGTTTTGACTGCTACGACAAGTTACTAGGGAGTTTTCGATGCACGACGTTAACCTTAACTTTAACTTTAGTACCCGACATGTAGCGCGATAGCTCCGCCCCTTTTGTAAACAAATCGAAATACGCATGCGCAAACCCGTAACTAACGTACGTCGAGCACGTAAAATCCTGAAATTAACGTACGCAAGATTAATAAATTATGACGCCATTCGTTAACGTTAAGGTTAACGTCGTGCATCGAAAAGGAACCACATACTGAGTAGTAAGTGAACCTTTCCGCTAAGCGCCGCCCTTTGGATATTGTTGCTAAGGTCCCACTAAATAAAATGTTGTACGCATCAAACATGTGTGTCCAAATGGGAAAACACGTGTGTTTGTTAGACAGTCGCGCGCGTATTCATGGCCCTGTTGTGGTTGGCCAGTTGGTAAGTTTGATTGACACTACGGAAAGATCCAATTGCTCACTTATTACCACTTTTGAACAACGCTATAAGAAGAGCGTCATTTGGGTTAAGTATGTTAAAAACAGAAACATAATTTGTTTTGTGTAATATTGTACATTATATTGTTTCTACTTATATGGATACCACAAACTATTAAATGTTGATTTTATAGACCATATGATGATAATGTAATAGAATAAAAGTGTAAATACATATAATGTTTTCTTTTCTTTTATTATATAAAAAATGTTTTACATTGGTTCATTTGTGATACACAGATCGAGGGTAAGAAATCTAATTTCCGTAACCTTGACCTTGTCCTTTGATTTGACCTTTTCTTACCAAAATTCAATAATCTCTTCCTTAAAAAAAAGGGGCACAAGTATCTGTTCCACGGCGGAGGTAAATTAAATCTATTGAATGGTTATTAACTTGCAATTAAACTATTCTGAAGGAATAAATGTTCTCGCTAATTATCTGAGTATTATAGGTGTAAATCTATTCGTTGATTATCTGTGTATTGTTCCTATATTCTTCTCATTGATAAAATTAATTTCTAATACGTCTCAAAATGTAAATAAACTGTGTTTCATTTGATAAATTGATAAATGAATTTTGAAATTCAACCCGACCACCAACGACAAACATCAACAATACCACAACAAACATACGTAAACATTACAATACAATATAATTTTTTTTTAAATACACAGTAGTTTATCAATAAACACTGCCGTACAAAATATAGACAAATCAAATAGAATATTATAATTGGTATTTAGACGCCTATAAACCTAAAAATAAAAATATACTGTGTTTTATTTGATAAATTGATGTAATAATTCAAAATCAAGGAATTTATAGTGTATTTTACAGTGAAGAACCGCAACCCAACCACGACTAACAACATAAACAACACCAGAAACAATACAAAAACATTACAATAGGTTTTCTCCCCTGGGAACAGTGGCGGCTTAAGTCCCCCCACCCCCTATCAGTCTGGTCAAGCCCAACCAAACCACGACCAACAACATAAACGACACCACAAACAATACAAAAACATTACAATAGGTTTGCTCCCTTGGGAACAGTGGCGGCTTAAGTCCCCCCCCCCCCACTCATCAGTCTCGTCAAGCCCTCCTCCCCATCGGTCCAAAAAAAAAATAAAAAAAAAATAGGCCTAGTTTTCCCATCCCAGTACTGTACTGCCTACGCCGAGCCAAATCTGTCTCAGCAATCGCTTCGTCTGGGTCTGATCAGTCAAGCAGAATATACGGTAACAATGGTGAATCGACCATTGACGGCCATCTAGAAGTCCCAATTAAAAAAAAAAATCTCGTTACCCACCACCGGTTTGAACTTTAGGCCCTCAGATAATGCTGCGCGCTATAGATACACCCATAAATGCTGAGTCCCTCTTCCCCCCCACCCATAAATTATATTCTAGAGCCGCCACTGCTTGGGAATGCTAATTAATTCGTTTTACTACATATAGTTTATCGATTTACACGGCCATACAAAGTATAGATAAATCAACCAGATTATAATAATTGGTATTTAGACGTCTATATACCTACTTTTATCCAGTGGCGTATCTAGCGGATGGTACCGGTATGCCCTCTAAAATCTCGCGCCTCCTAGTCGCCACCCCCCCCCAACCCCATTGAAAATGTCACCATGTCCGAAGGAAAACAAAAATCGCACTGAAGTAGTTTAAATTCACTCCGTATCATCACCTAGCGCCCCTCACTTATTCATCGATCTCTCCACTCCACCTTTGCGCCCCCATCATCCCTACCCACTACATTATTTCAAGGCTCCTAGATACGCCACTGCTACCATAACTTAGTAAAACAGGGTTATATTTACCCTATTAGTTTGCTACAGGTTCTAACTTTGCAACACAATTACCATTGGTGATGACGATCTTGACAACTTCTGAAACTCCGGGAGTTAGCCCGGTAACTAATGCGTTCTCACCCCGTGTCTCCTGGCAACACAAACATACAAAGCCATTGTATGCAAATGGCGGCCAGGCGCAACTTTCACTTGAGCACGTGTTTTCTAAAAATTCTTGATTGTATCCAAGCGTCGGTAGCTAAATAAAAACAATAATAATAAGTGTCACATTACTTAAAAAGAATAATATTATAATAGGCTTAACGATGTACCGTACTGTCTGCCAAAAAATAAGGAAAACCCCCCAAAAAATTAATGTATTGAATATTTCATTTAAATATATCAAATAGCTTGCAAGCCGAAACAAACCTAAGCAAATTTTCGCTGCTATACTGATATTATACATTTTTAATTTGTAAGACCTTATGAGCTGAGTTAAGTCACGTGTGCACTTTTACGTGCACTCAATCTCTTTTCAAAAAGAGGTGTATATGGTTGCATGTTTGAAAAAAAAGTTGGTCGCGCGATCTAATTCCAATGCGAAAGGTCCGCCATTTTGCATTTCAAGTAAAATATGGTCATGTGTACCATTAAAAAGGTAATTATACACTGATCACTTTTCTCCATTACACCTATACCTGAAAAGTTATTTGCCATTAAAAAAAGATCACATGGCCAATAAGCTTAAAATGTCAAAATTGGACAATCATTAAAATACTATCGTGTTAGGTATTGTTGGAAAGCTCTTCTAAAGTCAAATACAGTTTTACCCTTAAAAATAGTTTTCCTGAAAATAATTAGGAAACCACCATCAGTATAGGCGTTTGACCTATGCTGCTCTCTCTGCGTGGACCTTTTTAAGTCGCTTGCGGTTTCGGCTGACCGTTCTGGTGTGAAACCTATCTTAAGAAATGACGCCCACTTAAGGCCCTATGCGTGTACGTCAAGCCGCTTGCGGTTTCGGCTAACCGTTCTAGTGTGAAACCTGTCTTAAGAAATGACGCCCACCTGAAGAATAATGACAGGCACGTTCCCATCGACAGTGAGAGCTACCCCTGGTATAATGGTGCTTTCAATCGTTAAGCATACATCTGCAAGATCACTACATCCCTCGGGAGCATCTAACGTACCGGCTGCACCACTTATTGGTGGTGAAAATCCTACTCTGCGTGCATCTCCTGACGCTCCAAGGATAGATGTACACACTTCAGCATCTGCATCATAATGTCGAGGCGTGAAGAAGCCCCTGTTAGATGTTAAGAGTTGGCATTCTTGTTTGACGGTCAGTTGTATTGGAGAAGTGCTTGAAACAACAGAATTCACCAGCTCTTCTCCAGACATGCCATCGAAGGAACGCTGCCATCTTCTAATAGCTTCTTGCTGTGAGAAGGACATTTTAAAACATAAATCACAACTGTTGGTAACTTCACCGCTGCCGTAATAGAAATTGTATGTATTGTGGAACACTGCACTAGACTCCTCGTCATTTGCAAGGGAATAAAAAGACTCGGTTCTCTCAGCATTAGCAGTTGGAGGCTCCCATTCATATGCTCTCGAAATAATCACAAAGAAAACACAGATCAACGCAAACATTTTGCTTCCGTTATTAGGCCTACAACAACACACGATTGTTTTCTTTGTATGCTGATGCTTGTAGTAGAGTGTGGTAAAGAATGAAATTATCTGTCTAAGGTTTCTATTATATTTCAAGCAAATAACGATACATTGCCACTTGTAATAAGTAACACTTAAAATAACACGCTCAATATGTACAATCAGTAACCTCGACGGTTGCTAAGGATGTGGTTAATGTTTCTTTGTTCGATAAAGAAGCGATGTTGAAGCATCAAGGTTTATTGTTTGTTTTAAGTCCCATGTCAATAGCGAACAACTTACTATTCAAAATTAATAATAATGAAATAATACTTAAACTTAACTTGAATTGCACTTGGGAAAATAGTAAACACATCCACAAAACATCAATCGGAACTTCAACAAGTCCAAATTACAGTAACAACACAAAACAATAACAGTACTTATACTGAAAAAAATAATAGGCCTATATATTATTATATGCAATACTGGCACTATCATTATTTTTTTTAATTTTAAGGTCCAAAGAAAGCAAGCTAAGCAACATGTTTTCCGCTCATTTGAGGTTCTATCTGGTCACTTTATTGTCTGAGGTCAATTAAACTTTCCCCTTTCTGTCTTCTAAAGGTTAAGGCATACCAGACAGTGTTGTCCAATTTTAGATCAGATAAACAACGTGATCCCTCTTCATTATATTTTCAGAGACAGAGAAACACAATATGACCCTGCTCTTTTAAGATCCCAAGAATAGGCCTATAAAGTGGACCCGTTTCTCCAAAATCTAAGTCAAGCAATTTCTCCTCCTCTTTTTTAAGGTCCCAGAAAAAAAAAAACTAAAATGTTTGCCGTCACGAATTTAATGTCCGTGGCAACCGTAACAA